AACCGTCATTTTTACATTGAAAACATGGCTAATTTAGGAACATGACCAATTATTTTAATTTAGGACAAAGGAAAAAACTAAAAAGAAGGTGGAACTTACGTTGATCATACAAACTATTTCCATAGTTGGGTGCAGAGCCTACGGAAAGCAATCGTGCAGCCTCAGTATCTTTAGTAGTTGTCGTGTTCAGGTTTTGTGTGTCTAATAAAATACCCGCAAGCTGATTTAAATGTAATAAATTAGTATTTTATTATTAAAATTAAAAACCACAATATCACAAAGCCTATATATGAAACGAATAATCAATTCTGTATTATTTAATATTTACCATAAGTTTTTTCAAAACGGGGTTTTGAAGTAGATCATAAGCATCTTCACAATAATTATCCGTTAGGGTGGTGCACTTTGATCCAACCTCGTCATTACTCTTGAGGATGTCTTGCCCGATGACTAGGATGCTTAACTGCTTGTTCATCATTAGCACCTCCAATTCAATCTGGTATCGACACGTGGCAAGGAATTAAGTAACTGTTTTACATATATGAAATGAAAGGTGACATCACGATATGCATGCGAAGATCAAAGAGACGAAACCTCGTTGGCGAAGAGGATGGCGGCGGCATCAACACCAGCATGGTGGAAGAGCCAGGCGGCTTGCCGCTGCTTCCACATCTTTTCCCTTCTCACATTTAACACCGGCACCACCATTTCCATGGTGGTGCCGCCCCCTGCAACCACCGCATGCCTTTTACTTCTCATCCGAGTATCCAACAACCATGCATGGCAAATCGCTGCCACCATTGAACTTGTACCTGCATTATTATTTGTTCAAAACTATATTAAAACTCCTGTCTTTAATTATCTTCGTTTTACGAAGCCTAAATGAATAGAAAATTACTGTTTGAGTGTCCAGAGAGCACAATCTTCGCTTTCCCTTTGATTTCGCCATTCAGTAGCTTTAAGATTTTGATTCTTTGTTCCTTCAAGAACGCATTAAGATCCAGTTGACCTAGTTCTGAGTCCTTTGGTTCGCTGCGTATAGGACTAGATTTCATCGAGATTTTGTCTGTGTAGCATGTAGATGATGAAATCGATCTCCGTTGAGCTGATTCCACTAGATTCCGCGGCGGAGAAAGGATATTTTTCTCTGTAAGAGAGCATGTAGAGGATGATATTGATCTCCGTTGAGATGATTCAATGAGGTGCTTAGGCGGAGACAACAATCTTGTGTCCGCCGGAGTTGCGGTGGCGGTGGTTTTAATGGTTCTTCTAGGTGGTATTATTTGGGGTTGAGCTGCATTAGGGTCGTTCTGGAATCTGGATCTTCGGTGGGTGGATAGTCGAGGTGGGACAAGGGCAGCTGTTGAGTCGGCGGCGGCGGTGTGGTGGGTGGGGGAAGGTGATGTTGGTGGTAGTGGTGGAGAAGATTGGTTTTCGAAACGAGAGCGGCGGTGGGTGGATACTCGAGGTGGGATAATGTCTAAAGGTGTTGTGGTGGCAGGTGGTGATGCAGTGGAAGTCGTTGAATCTCCGGCAATCGGCGGTTTTAGGATGTTGGAGAACCATTTCTGGACAGCGGCGGCAGGGGAACCGTCGGCCGGTGGATGAGAAGAGTTCGAAAAAGATTCCACGGCGGTCTGGGAGTTGTTACGACTGTGAGTGTGCTTCGAAGATTTCGTTAAGATTTCTTCGGTGAATCCATCCACCGACCTGTGTCTGTATTTTCGATTTACATCAAACATTCAACATCAAAATCCCTTTTATGTATTTGTGTATTATATAGATTTTTCACTAATTATTTTACTTTTAAAAGTCTAGTCATTTATAACATGTTACTTCTATTTTCTTCAATTCAGTTTATAACACATAATATTTGTTTTTGTATTTAGATAAAATTGTTATATAAGTATATAGAAAAAATTAAACTATAGTGTTATAATAAAAAATAATAATAATACCTTCTAGCAGACCGAGAAAGGGGATCTCTCTCTGTTAATGAAGAAGTCGACAGTCTAGGCCCTGACACACCGAATCTAGGCGACCCAACGAGCCGAGAAGGTGAATGTCCCTCGGCTCTTGTGGACCCACGGCCAGGCGAAGAAGCCATCAGCTTCTTCGCTTCCTCTAGCCACTCCTGAGTCAACCTGCTACTTGTACTGCGAGTGCTCGAATCAAAATCGTCTTCTTCATCCGCCGCATCCCCGCCACCACCACTAAGATTATACACTTTTTTCTCATTATTTACCGCTCCAAAAAACATATCGTTCATGAAATCCGCAATGTCAGGGACTTGTTCTTGGCCCCGACTTCCTTTTCGTCTGTTCTCAGCCAGTTTCTTTTGTAGGTTCTCGTTTCCTGCATTCTTATTGAATCTTCTTTGATCCATTGATAAATGTGTGTGAAGTAATGAACATGTAACGTGATTAGGGCTCGAAGAAATGCCGGGACTTTGGCTGAGAACACTAAGATTTTCGTGAAGTTTTTAAAGGGGTTTGATGGCCGGCAAAATGAGAGAAACGGCATCGTTTAGTGGGTGTAATTTTGCATGTAATCCGGCATTATTTATTAGGAGATGAAATCTATGTGCTAATGATTTAAAATTTTTGTCACAAGAGAGATTTGGACTTTGAAAGTGATATATTATTTCTGTATTTTTGTAAATGACATAAATAAGATATGTTTTGGTTTTGAATGATGCTTCTCGACTTGTACGGTACAAATGACATCTAATGAAATGTGACGTATTGAAGAACCGATTCTTCGGTAGATGTATGAAATTTTGAGGGTTTTGAAGTGTTAAACAAAATTTTGTAAATTTTTAGTGAACTCATGTTTTGATAGTGGACAATTTATCAATAATCTATCAACTACGATATTTATAAGTTAAATATGTGATCATTATCTGTTACAATACATGAAAAGATAATAATATTGTGTTTAAAGATATGGATGTGACATTTGGTCGTTTTTTAGACTGTCATCAAAATGAGGACTTTATCTTATGCTAAATGAAGTTTTCAAAAAAGCTATAATTTTGTTCCATATTTTTCCTGAAAAAAAGTTTAATTTGGTACATTTATATCTAAAGAATAATACAATAAAATAATAGAATTTTTCAAAAAATGGGTTTCATGATTTCCGCGATCATGGTTTATAAAGGAAAATGATATTACACGAAAAATGGAAGTCATGATTGCCACTTCGAGTTGAATACATTTAAGCCTTTATTTTATTTTTTTAATTTTTTTAATTTTTTAATTTATTTATTTATTTATTTATTTATTTATTTATTTTTTGTCTTTTCTATACTTTTAATCGAGGATATAATCAAAATGTTGAAGACAACGATATGAATTATTTTAAAAATATTGTATTCAAATAATCTTGTCAACATTATAGAAGTGATGTATTGTTATGGAAAGACGTTTAAGTTTTTTCCAAGTAATATATGATATTAAAAAAAATAAAAAAAATACATATACAACCAACTAGATGGTTAACGAATTGAAATCGTATTATAAAAGGTTAAACGAAGAGATCGGTTTGCTAATTTTTCGAACCTAAACCTAAACCGAAATAATCGGTTAGCTTATTTTTTTCGATTCGATTATCCGATTAACCAATTAACCATTTACTAATGAATAAATGTATTCATAATTAAAAAACTTGAATTTCCAAAATAAGGATAATCTTCCATGATATTGATAATTGTGGTTTCATAAATTTGGAATATATATGGTAATTATATTTATAATGACAATTGTTTTTAATAATGAAAACTTAATAAAACATTAGATTATGAGCATGTTTGACACAAAGCGTTTGTAAAACTTTGAGAGCTTATAGTTTTTAACGTTTGACAAAACGCTCTGCTTTGAACAAAAGTCTCATTTGATACTATAATTTTTTACCGTTTAGTTCAAACAAAATATTTCAAATCTAAAAGCAATCTCACATAGCTTTTAGCAAAATGCTAATAGCTATCAGCTTTCCGCTATCCGTTAATTTTGCCAAACACGCCAATATGACCGTGAATCTAAATACTTAGGTGTTGTTTGTTTTTCCAGAGTCAAAATGTCTGCAACTTGAAACCTCATTTGCAGACCTTTGCAGTAAAAGAGGTGGATAAAACATCTGCAGTCTGTATGAAGAAGTTTGTTTGTTTTTTAATGTGTGCAGTCTGCTAAAATAGATTGAAATTTAAATAAACTAGTTTTTTTTTTTTTTTTTTTTTTTTTTTTTTTTTTTTTTTTAAAGTAAAAGAGTTTTTCAACATTAAAATTTAAATAATTTTAATTTTATAACATTGAAATATAATTGATACAACCATAATAATATTTTTTACAACATTAAACTATTATGTCAAACCTAAAATAGATCTTGTAAGCAAATGTTATTAAAGATCATGGTATCCTTCATTGCAAGAATGATGATCATTTTGAAACTTAAATATTATAAAAAAAAAAAAACCTCAACTTTATGTGGATTGTCGATCTAAATCTCAAACAAAAACCATTACAAAAACATGATCAACAATGTAGTTAAAATTGAAGTTAATTTACATTTTTATTACAATTACATTAAATAGAACTCTCAAAACACCAAAAGTATACATTGTTTTACATGTAAACAAAACACAAAATATGTATTGACAAAAATCTTTGGTATAATTTAAGAGTTGGTATTCCTTTTGATAGATCTTTGAGTCCAAGAAAAAAGATGACAAAAAGTTAATCAACACGCCTAACTTCAATAATTATTTAAAGAATTTATGACATTCATACACATTATCTTTAACAACAAATGTTCATAATCATAAAATAAACTTCTTGCAAAACCACAAATCCAAATGCAACAATAAGTACTAGAAATAATACCACTAAAATGGGATCTTTTTACCAATTCAAAAACTTTGCCCTTATAAGACCAAAGTTTATAATCATTTGCAGATTTCATATCTGCAAAAAAAAAAAAAAAAAAAAAAAAAAAAAAAAAAAAAAAAAAAAAAAAATAAAATCTAGCTGAGGATTTTAATCAAACAATTGGTGTGATATGATTATCAACTAATTTCTACCCCATTTAGATCAATTCAACCACACATAATGTATCAAAAATAAAACCTTATAAGGCATTGCAGCAAAAAAAAAAAAGACAATTAACGTCATGCATTTCATATCATTCCATAAAAAAGGCATTTAAGCAAAAGAAAAAAAAAGAAAATAGCTCTAGAAGATCTATTTATATATTGTTGCATAAAAAAACATTTCAACAAAAGACAATTAACTCTAATTCAAGACTTGCATAAAAAAAGACATCTAATTTCAAGTTTGCATAAAAAATTAACAGCATTTGTTTTCATCAGAGATTTGATTTAGTTCAAATTTGATTTCATGAATCCTAGAAAAGTTGAAATTGGTTACATGGCGAGGGGAAAATGTCAGAATGAAATATGCATCAGGGAGAGGGCGGCGGAGTTCGATGATGCCAAGAAGGCTGGCGGGTGAAGGTGACGTAAGTATGAACAAGAGGATGAAGAAGAAGAAAATGTTGGTCAGGACGAAGGCAGCATGATGAGGGGACGAGAGTTTGAAGAAGACGGTGAAGGAAGGCGTGAATGGTGAACGGTGATGTTGGGTGATGTTGGAGGCGTTGATTTTGAAAGAGAGAAATAAAACAAGTTTATTTTTGTTTAGGTTTATAAGACTTGTTAAGACTTTAAAAGACATTAGTCCATGTCCGTGCAAGAAGACATCGCACAAACGTTTTTAAGTTTGCACACTTCCAAAAAGCAAACACTCTGTGAGGGCATATATCCACACTAGACAGACAAAAGTGGTTACGTAGATCTGCAGATAAAAAACAAACAACTCCTTATTATTAAAGGAAAATTATATCTCATAATTAATAATAATTTTACATTAACTTTGTTCTCTTAAAAATAATAAATAAAAATTTTGGTTTTTCAGTTAATCATCCAGTGTAAGAATCGTGAACCATAACCGAACCGAGAAACTAAAAGTATTAGAGGTTAGGTTAACCAAACCGAAAAAAAAATCCTAAGACCAGGTTTGTTTAACCTAAAAATCAGTACTTTTTATTGGTTTTTAGGTTCGTTTTTTCAGTTTCGGACATTTTGAACACCCTTACATTCTATTATAAAACCAATACTACAAAATGTAACAATAATGTAATGCGAATTTGTTTCTCATGACATTTAACCGAAATAATAATTTATCTAACAAGTATTCACATTTTGGCTATGTTTGGCGTACTAGTTGAAAAACTAGCTGTTAGCTAAAAAGCTAACTGATAACTGAAAAACTAGCTGTTAAATAAAAAACTACCTGATAGCTGAAAGGCTAACTGATAAAACATAACGTTTAGTAAAACTAGCTGAAAAGCTAGCTGAAATATATAAAATTACATAAAATGACATGTAAGACTAGTGTTCCTATAATTACTTAAGGGGTATATTTGGAAAATTTTAAAAAATATCTTAAAAAGCTAGTCTAAGTAGCTTTTTAAAAAGTTAGCTTATAAGCTACTTTTTGGCTTACCAAACACTACAACATTAAAAAAAAAAAAAAAACTCGAAAAATAAGCTAGCTTATTAGCTAGCTGTGGTGCGCCGAACACAATCTTTGTAATTGGAAAAAAAAACTTATGAGGGTAATTATATGTTCATTTAACTTGTTAAATGTGTTTACATATTAATATTGTCATTAGCCATCTCAAGTGATAATTATAACATGTAACATCTCATTTTCACAAAAAAAAAAAAAAAAAAATCATTTTATTTAAGTAGAGCTTCCACTTTATAAATCCATTTTAAAGAAAACCTTTTATTCCAAATACATTTATTGAAATCTGGGTAATATTAAAGTGCGAAATCTTCATTGTTGCTGATGAATGTGTACAGTCACGTCTTCGCCTTCCCAAGATGGCCGATGATACCTGAAACAATACACAACTGAGCAAGCACAAAGATTAGTGAGTTTCTTCCAAAATGCCCATACGATAAACATACAAGCATGCATCGGGTCCATTCAGCCTTTGGGCTGGAATACCCAGGGTTTGGTAGCCTACCACCTTAACCCAACCACTTTTCCCGAGCCTCCGTACCTACAGCTTACAGTCAGCACGCACCCGGGTATCTTGGCCTACAACACAAAGTATGGCCGCCTTAACCCACTACTACCATATATCGACATATAAAAAATCAGGATCAAGTAGTCTCATAATACAGGCAAAATTCAATTATACAATTAACTACCGCCTACTAGTCCTAACATCACACATTGTCCTGCTACTAACTATCCTCCGTGAAATGCGTAACCATAAGTAACCAGAGGTTAGATAGCCACCCGAATAGATGATCATGTTGAA